TCAATGATTAATGACATCCCGAAACAGATCAGAAAACACGATGCAATTGACAGAAATCGCATTGCATGGGCGAGAAAACCCATGTGATGTGATTGAAAGAAAAGAGTCCTGCACCTTTTTGGTGCGAATGTGATGTGATTTGAGCCATACAAAGTGTCAGAAGTAAATGATGCTAAAATCAGAGGTCAGCAGTGACGTTGAGTAGTAAGAGTGCTGTAGCTCTGGTTCTCCTCTTCTATGATCCAGTATGTGGGACTAAATTACAGCCAATCGCTGTCCTGCTATGGTCCTCCACCCAGGGGTTTATCTACTGCGAGGCAAAGAAGGCATTTGCCTAGGGTGGCATCTTTCAGGGTACACATAGGTGTGAGAGGTCTTCAGGGCAGCTCAGCGGCTCCTGAGTTGATTTTCCTGGAGCTCCACTGGCTCCCCTGAGCTAGACAACTGTTACATCCAAGCTCCATCTCCCCTGAGGATGTCCAGCTCCGCTGCAGTCCTTGCACAGTGATCTGTTTAGTGTGGCAGCTCTGATTCCCATTGTATAATCCACCCCCTCCTCATCCATAAGTAATGGATTGAATGGGAGTATTAGCAGAGGGGGGTGTACAAGGTGTATTTGACTGTCAGCACTGAAGGGCTTTACAAGTTATATGTGACTCACACTCAGTGTGGACACTCACATACACCTTGTACACCCCCCCCCCCCACATGCTCACACACTCACAAATAATTTGTAAAGCCCCCCAGTGTCCACAGTCACATACACCTTGTACACCCCCCACTGCTCATACTCGCATATAAAGCTTATAAAGCTCCCCAGTGCGGACACTTGCATACACCTTATATAACCCCCCCCCATTGCACTGAGGGGTATATAAGGTGTATGTGAGTGTCGACATTTGGGGGCTTTATAAGTTTTATATGTGAGTCTGAGCAGTGGGGGGTGTACAAGGTGTATGTGACTGTCGACACTGGGGGGCTTTACAAGTTATTTGTGAGTGGCACTGCTGGGGGTGTACAAAGTGCATAGGAGTGTGGGCACTGGGGGGGGGTTTACGAGATGTATGTTAGTATAGGACAGGGGTGGACGGACCATTTATAAACTCGGGCACTGCCCGAGGGCCCGGGGTCAGTAGGGGGCCCCATGAGATGCCCCTGGTACCTTTTTCATAGACTTTTTTGAGTTTGGGCAAGGACACAGGGGCCTCATGATCCCCTATTGCCTGGGGGCCCCATGAGTTGTCAGTCCACCCCTGGTATAGGCACTGAGAAGGGGGGATGTACAAGGTGTATGTGAGTGGGCACTGGATGGGGAAGCAGGGATGTACAAGGTGTATAAAAGTGTAAGGGATGGGGGTGCAAGATGTCTGTGAATGGGCACTGGGGGATATACAAAGGGAGTGTAGGCACTGGGGGAGGGATGTACAAGGTGCGTGTGTTTGTGGGCACTTTAGGGCCAGGGATTTAACAAAGTGCATTTGACTATGGGGACACTGGGGAGGTCAATGTACAAGGTGTATGTAAATGTGGTCATGGGGGGGGGAATACACGCACAATACACAATGTATATGTGAATGAGGGCATAGTTGTACAAGTTAAATGTGAGTATGGGCACTAGGGGCATGTACAAGGTGTACATGAGAGCAGGCTGTGGGTATGTGGGGGCAGAGGATGTGCTTTGGTACTTGTTACAAGTCGTGCGACAAATGTAGATGGAGGGGGGTGATATTAGTCTCGCCTAGGGCAGCACAAAACCAAAATACACCACTGCCTCCACCCGATGTGCTGGCCTGCAGCATCTGCCCCCTCCCCAGCATAAACAAACAATTGGAACGTAAAACTGATGAAGCTACCTGTGACAAAGTGCAGCAGTGGTGGGGACACAGAAGGGGGAACTGAAGGAATTGAGGGGACAGTGGGCCCCACCCGTCTTGGGGCTCGTGTGCCCGACACACATGGCTCTAATGATGGCTACACCACTGTTTGTACAATAGTGTGTGTATTTCTGTATATATGTGTGTATTTCTGTATATGTGTGTGTGATATCTCTTCATTTCTCTCTTAGGAGGCAGATACAGATGACAACCAAGGAACCCTCGGCTTTGATGAGTTCTGTGCATTCTATAAGATGATGTCCACGAGGAGGGATCTATACCTGCTTCTGATTACTTACAGTAACCACAAGGACCATCTGGATTCTGATGATCTGAAGCGCTTCCTCGAAACTGAGCAAAAGGTTAAACTCCATGTTTTATGTATATGGCCAATCTAAAACTTTGAATCAGATCACACATTTTACAATCGGTGCAATATCAGTTTTAGCAACAACTGTGTAACAGTGTAATGGCCTCCTAAAGTAATTTATTTCTATCCAGTGAGTTAGGCCCTCATTAGATGCTAATAAATGTAAGGAGATTGTGCAATCAGATTTTAATGTTTGTGACCAGCTTTAAAGACCAAGACATCCCATAACATAATCCAAAATAAAATGATGGTATGTGCTGTTAGGGATTATGGTCCTGGTTCCTGAACATTACAGTTCTTAAAGTGTTACTAAACCCAGGACCCTGCATTCACTATATGTGGTCCCCACTGTACACACAACATGTAAGTACAAATAGTTTAGTAAATATAAACTTCTAAATACCTTTTCTCATCAGCAATTAGAGCAGTCTTGTGATTTCTGACAGTATCCAGCAGAGCACATGTTAAAGCTTGTAGGATGAGTTTTCATTCTGCTCTAGGAGGATGCAGAGCCCCTGACCTCTGTCTGGACAGTACTGATTGGCCCTGTGCTGATCACATGCACTCTCCCAAGGAAAACAAAACCTCTCTAGCAATACACAGCAGACACTGAGCATGTGCAGAATGTCTCCACACGATATATCTTATCAGTAGATAAAATGGGGACACTGGAAAAAGGGGAGGATCAGAGAATTGAGAATCAAAGAGCGTTTTTAAGCAATGCAGAGGACTAATCCCTGCATTCACTATATCTGGGCTCCCACAGTACACACAACATGGAAGTGCAATTATTTTAGTAAATATACACTGCTAAATACCTTTTCTCATCAGCAGTTAGAGCAGTCTTGTGACTTCAGCAGAGCACTGGTTAAAGTTTGTAGGATGAGTTTTCTTTCTGCTCTAGGAGGATGTGAAAGCCTTGACCCTCCATCTGGACAGTGCTGATTGGCCCTGTGCTGATCACATTCACTCTCCAAAGAAAAAAAAAAAAAAAAACCTCTCTAGCAATACACACCAAATTGAGCATGTGCATGTGACTACAGATTCAGTCTGTATCAGGTGGTCATTTCAACAAGAGGAGGGGCAGAGAAGAAAGGATCAATCAGCTTTTTTACACAATGCACAGGATTAACCCCTTAGGTTCCACAATGAGTATAACAAGCATGCTTACTGCATATACAGACTGATTTTACAATAGTGGGTTTAGTAACACTTTAAGTAATTGTATTAGATCCCTCTAAAGAGCTCTATGTAACTTTTTTTTAGATGAGACCACTGTAATTTTAAGGATATGTTTACCTGTATTAGAAAAATGAATATCACTTTTCCTAACAGGAAGGAATATGTTTTTATCAACATAAGAAATTGAATTCTATTACTTGACATAATAACCTGAATTCTATCACAGAGGCCGTTAGATTTTTTTTCGTTGGAGGACTGTAATTGCCTTTTTCCTTTCTCTCTGTAATTCACCAGAGCTAACGTTCTCAACACATCCTGTTTTATTGAAGTTGACATTTCATGTTGGGAAATTGAAAATGTATTTTTGGTATAGATGGTTAAGATGCTTATTACAACACAAGTCTTGTTACTATAATATTTATGTGCAGAATTAAAAAGAAAAAATTTTTCTGTAAACACCTAAGAGTTGCTTCATTATCGGTGTTAATTTCGTGGCTGAAAATATTTGAATTGATAAACACTATTTTAGTCGACTAAAATACGACTAAAACAATTCAGATGATTAAAATATGACTAGTAATAAAAAGAGCAAATGTTGGCACTTTTCTTCTTATTAAAATACGACTAAAACTTAACTTGGCATTTTAGTAAAAAGACTAAAACTAAAGTAAAATTTGACATCAAAATTAACATTGGTTATACCTCACAAAGGCTAAAATCTGTGTCTCTAGTGCATTTTCAAACCTTAACTCCTTAACGCTGACGCCTCATGGCCCTTGAAGAGGTTTCTGATTCCGGGCGGGCGGGCTGTATGATCATGTGACCACCATGATTCTCTATCAGAGCGGTCACATGACCGGAAAGCTTCTGAACGCAAATAGCAATCGGGGGCTTTCCATTAGGGGCTGGTAACTGAGCCTTCGGGAGTGCGCAGGGTGCATGCTCTCTGCACAGGTTTGTTTACATTTGGGAATGCAAATATGCGGCCTAGAGACCTCAAGGCCCACCCAGCAAGAATCCACATATTTGCGTAGTCTCAGCATGTACAGTTTAACCACTAGCCTACAGGGCACTTATACCCCCTTCCTGCCCAGGCCAATTGTCAGCTTTCAGACCTGTCGCACTTTGATAATTGCGCAACACTGTACCCATATTAAATTTTTAGCCTTTTTTTGAGACTGATAGAGCTTTCTTTTGGTGGTATTCAATCACCTTTTTTTTTTTATTTTTGTGCTAAACAACCGGAAAACAACTGAAAATTTTGAAAAAAAAAAGTTTTTCCTTTTGTTTTTGTTATACAATTTTATAAATAAGTGATTTTTCTTCTTCACTGATTTGCCTAATGAGACTGTAGTGATGGGCACTGGTAGGCTGCACTGATGGGCACCGATAGGTGGCACTGATGGGCACCGATGAGGAGGCACTGATAGGCTGCACTGATGGGCACCGATAGGTGGCACTGATGGGCACCGATGAGGAGGCACTGGTAGGCTGTACTGATGGGCACCGATAGGTGGCACTGATGGGCACCGATGAGGAGGCACTGGTAGGTGGCACTGATGGGCATTGACAGGCATCACTGATGTGCATGAAAGGCAGCACTCATATATGGCACTGTTAGGTGGCACTGACTGGCACTGTTAGGCAGCACTGATGAGCATTGATAGTGGCACTGATTGGCAGCACTGATAGGTGACACTGAAAGGCAGCTCAGATTGGCACTGATGGGCACTGGCAGGTGGCATTGATGGACTCTGACGGGTGGCATTGCTGGGGCTACACTGATCATCAGGGCACACTTATCATCAGTGCCCTGATGATCAGTGTACATGTCCCCTCTGAGAATGCCGATTACCGGCTCTCCTCTCCTCTTGAGCTGTCAACGTGACAGCTCATGAGGAGAGATATGCAGAAAACTGGCATTTCTCTATTTACATGCGATCAGCTGTGATTGGACACAGCTGATCACATGACCGAGCTGACATCGACTGTTTCCGTTGATCGGTGATCCGCTGTGTCTGAGGGACACAGCACACCACCAATCGCTGCGCTGCGCGCTTCCAGACACTGGGGAGGACGTTAGAGTGGGAGGACGTCGTATGACGTCCTCCCAGAATGAGAGAACCGCCTTGCGCCCATCATTACCTTATATGGCGGGCGGGAGGCGGTTAATACCATAAATAAATAACCTGTCATTAGATTTTTACCCCAGGGGTATATAATGAGTAAAGTACATAAGCGTACCTTTTTTTTTTTTTTTCCCTGCAAGGTTCTCTTAAAGCCATGACATGGGATACAGCCTATGTGCCCCAGGGCCTTTTGAGTTTCTTCCAATCCTGTTTGCAATGCAGTGCCCTAATTTGTTTCATAGTTAAAAAAATCACGTGTGCAGCTCCGGGGTCTGCATGCCACTTATATTAACAGTGTCTATGCTTGATGAGTATACTTGAGATAAATTTAGTGGACTTTTTGAACTTGGCACAGATTCAGTATTTAGTGGATAGCATTAACGGCTCACTGATTTATTTTGCTTGTTACCTGGATTGCTCTCTACATTACAAACATTGTTTTTATGACATTTATATTCAGGAGATCATTTTAAATTGTATTTCAAACCAAAGCACAGCTTTAAAATGCAAGAAGGAAAAAGTAATTAGACTCATTCAAAAAAAGCATTACAGCAACATTTTTGGAAAAGGAACAGCATGATTTGATGTGCTGATTTTCACACATGCATTTCAATCTGGAATGGCAGCACTAAAGATTTCCCACAATTCAACTGGAAAGGAGAAAGTCATTTATCATTAGGGAAATCTATTGAAAAAAGGAGGAAGGGAACCAAGCAGGATGACACTGTAGATGATTGGGTTTGAGATTTGGGAGATGGCTATAGACAACACTCCCTTAATCAAAGTAATTGAAGCATGTCAATCTTTGCAGAACGATGTTGCAGAAGGGAATCATTAAACTTTTTTTTTTTTTGTAAGCAGATCTGGCTGCTGTTAAATTGTAGGATATTACACTTAGAGTTGGTTACTGATTATACTATGAATATTACTGTATTTATATATGTAAATCAGGGATATTTCAGCATAAAGTTGCATTTTTTTTGTGCTCAAAACTGGTGATGAAAATTTAGATTTTGTGTTATTTTGATGTCTGATAAAATATGGTTTCAGTTTTGCGTGGCCAATGGTAAATTAAATTGGAACCCTGTGCAATTGTTTTTGTTTTGTTTTTTTGGAGTGGTGTAGAAGCTGCTAAGGTATACTCTGGGGTTGATTTTCAAATTAGGGAAAAGGCTAAATTTGTCCTGAATCTTGCAGATTAGATTCTGAAAAGTTGGAAATGAACGTCTATGATGTATGAGCACACAGAATTTACTGCAAACCGTGCACTAGAAGCTGTCCAATGTGAATAAATATATGCACATATCATTACAGCATTGGCTTTCTAAAGTCAGCAGTTAGCTATTCAATAAACCAAAAATGACATAGAAAATTCACAAACAATTTGTGGGGGACTTATAGTAATTTAAAAGCTTTTTCCTGAAAAATCTGAAGCAGACCCTTATCCAGGCATGCAGGCCAGGGGGTCAGGAAGGAGAGGGCAATGGAGAAAGCTTCCTCTCCCATTTCAAAGCATCCTTTTCCTATTGCTGAGAGACAGGGGCTTCTTCTCCAATTCTAAAAATGTCGGCAACAGGTTAATACAAAAATCTTCTTTATTGCATAAAGGAGTGCAAATATTCCATTGCAAACTTACTCAAACATGTTTGTCTACAAGCAGACTGAAAAATGTTAACGCAAGTTTGTCATGGAATATTTTTACTCCTTTATGCAATAAAGAAGATTTTTGTAGTCACCTGTTGCCGACGTTGTTGGAATTGGACTTGTGCTTATAAGCAAATGGAGTCGGGCATGGTGAGCCTATATGCTTTAAGCCTAATTCATTTGACAGGTAGTAGCAATCCACTTCTGTTTGGATTTGCAAATGGGCTTCTTCTCCACCTTCGTGTTCCCCAAGGAGTGGGGGGGTAATAGGAATGGAGTTATGGTGGAAACTGGAAGCCATTTTTATAGTAAGGGGGTGACCATAGATCTATTCCCTCCCAGGGAAATGTGTACAGGGGTACAGTACCCCCCTGTTTGCAGGCTCTGAGACCCTGGAGCTAAAATAATTTTCTGGATGCTTCAACTTGCCTAGATTCAACACTATCTGATAAATCAGTTTAGGATGAAATGACTTTTTTAGCAGCAGCGACAAGGTTTCATCATTTTTATAAGCTGAGAAAAGTTCAGCTCCAAGAGATTACTAGTACATTAAAGAATTGGTCTACCCAAAACTGACATTTTAAGTGGAATTTGGTAGGTTGAACCAGTCTCTGGCTTGCGTACTCCTGCAGTGAGATCTCTCTTACATAATTCGGAATTCTCTTCCTGTCCAACCAGGAGTTTTGCATGTTCAGCAGAACCTCTATGTCCTCCATAATATACAATAAGAAAACCAACAAAGAAGGTGGGAAATCCACATGATGCCTCATTAGATATCTGACTTGTAGAGCCCCTGAAAAATGGAAGAAATTGTCAGGTGATTCAACTCTCCATCATTTACCAAAAACTGAAATCTAAGTTTAGGATAGGTGGACCTTTCGTAAAATAAGCAGAAATGTATTCCTGCGCTTAATGCTTAAAAGGAAAATGTATAATATGATAATATATATATTTATCCAACATCAGAAAAAAATATATGTATTCAATAAAGTTCACTAAAGTGAAAATAAAGAAATCTTTTGATTGAAAGTGTCACAACCAAGTGTAAATCCCAGAAGAAAACCAGTGTTTTATATCTAGGCCAACAGTGTCCATACACATCTTACCAGATTAATAAGATCTCAAACAAACAAGATCATAAGAGTTCAGATGACAGACCACCATACACCACAAGATGAGAATTTCAATCAGTGAGGCTTTAACACCGACATCACATTCAACTATATGGCTCCACAGCAATGCTTCTTGCACCACTCCTCATAAACATCCAGTGTAGCAAACAATTCAAATAATAGAGGAAGAACAGAATCTCACAGTGCAACCAGTAAAAACTGAATAAAATTTATTACACTATTGCACTCACGTGAAATGGATAGGTAAATCGCATATACAAAATCAAAGATGGTGCCACCGGAACTTCTGCTGGCCTGCACAACAGAGTCACAGGCTGTAAACTCCCCCAGTCTGGTAAGAAGTGTTTGAACATTGGTGGCGTGGGATATCCTTGAAACACAGAAGACCTTTCTTAATCTACGGAACCTGTAAAATGGGCCTACATGCTCATCACTCTGTCAAGAGTCTCTAGTAAACAGATCCTCGAAACATAGAAAAGTGATGGCAGAAAAAAGACAGAGTGGTCTGTTAAGTCTGTCTGTTTTTTTTTTTTGTTTTTGTTTTTTATATAGGTTTTGTATTTTTTTTTTTTTTTTTTTCATTAACCACTTTATATACATGAGCCGGACGGGAGCAGTGCAGGAGCGGGTGGCTGTTTATAAACGTCCTTCCCGATCCCTGCCTGTGCACGCTCCCCCGGAGCGCGCGGCACCGTGACACGGTGCCTGCTCTGTCCGGAGGATACAGCAGAACACTGATCGCTGTACGGGACCTCTGTGTGAGGTCCCGATCATGTGATCACTGATTGGCCAATCAGTGATCACATGAATAGTAGTAAGCAAGATGTCACTTCTGACATCATTGCTTACTATGTGTGACATCTGTGAATGATCACCGAGGTCACATGGCACAAGGCTATTCACAACAGCCTTGTTCCATGTGAAAAGCTGTGACCAATCACAGCTCACACAGTATTTCTCAATGGCTGCAAGAATGCAGCCAGAGAGAAGGAGAAATGATTGCTTTTACACCCATAAAGCTGTAAAAGCAATCGGTGTAAGACAAAAAAATAAATATTCATCACCCCCCACAAGTAGTACAGTGTCACTATTTATTTTACATCTTTTATGACTGCATATTAGCGCTGTACTTTATTTTATTTATTGCCATTTGAAGGTTTATTGTGGTTACCTTGAGTGTTACAGCTGCTATTTTAGAGCTCTCACTTTATTACTACTTTTAATAGATCTATGATTGTCCCAAGCATGTTTGAAGCCATTTACTGTTGACTGGCTCACTACCTCTGCTGTAAGTGTATTCCAAACATTAACTACCCTTTCAGTAAAATAATACTTTCTAAGATTAGTTTATAAATCAAGGCTTTGTATGTAATCTTGCTGAAAAAAAGCCCAAAATCTAAACATTGAATCCATGCTATTTCTGTAATCCTTTTATCTTTCACTATACATTTTGTTATTTTCTGAGTCTCAGTGCAGTTTAAAAGGTCAGGCAATTTTGACTCCCATATAGTTCAAGCTAAACAGGATAAGTGAATCCTTAATCCCCCAGTACAAGACCCCATGTGACAATCCCACTGGAGTGCTGTCTAAACTGATACCCCACAGGCTTAATACCTTCAAAACAATATGACCTCCAAACTCAGAATTAGGTTCAGCACTTCATCAGCCCCTATGAGCATTTATCAATAAGCTGTAATGTCTGATGTCTGCTATTGAACTTGACACTGAGTGACGGTCCTGGGGATCTTATTGGGCGATTAGCAGCCCTCCAGCATTAGGTTAGAAAATTGGATTGCTGGATCCGATAAAGGGTGATGGTACAGGCTTGTAAAATCAGATTATCCCGTTTGGATTTATCTCTTTCCTTTATTTCTACTGTAGATGACGAATGTAACTAAAGAATACTGCCTGGACATAGTTGCTAAATTTGAACCTTGCCCGGGAAAACAAAAAGGAAGGCGTCCTGGGGATTGATGGTATGTAAATAAACATAGTAACCTGTAATACCATTTACACTGTACATGAAACTGGTCCTCTGTGCTTGTTGGAT